GGTCCCCCGGGCCAGCGAGCATGACCCTGGGCCAGCGAGACGGGTCCCCCAGGCCAGGTCCCCTGGGCCAGCGAGCATGACCCTGGGCCAGCAAGCACACCCCCGGGCCTCAGCTTTCGTGCCTGTGAAACGAGGCTGCCCAGGAAATCAACCAACATCTTGCCTCTGGGTGCCCGGGTGGCCTCTGCAGCTGCCCCCCGGCCACCAGCCTCCACTGGGCCCCTCCCATTAGTTCCAACTCAGCCCCCAGAATGACTGTAAATCTCACCCTCAAATCTCCTTACTCCCCGCTAGCATCCTCTAGTGACACCCCAGGCTCTGGCAGCAAAGTTTCACTTTCCCCCAAAGCAAAAAACAGACCCTGCACCATCTGCCTCTCACCACCAACGACACCCGCAACCCCCACCCCATAGCTCCCTAACTTCACCTCAAACCACGCCGGTCCCCACCCACCCACCCGCCCGCTGCGCTCTGCCTTTGCCCAGCAGGCTTCGCATATGCTGTTCCCTCCCGGCTCCTCCTTCAGCTCTAGCGGCCACTCGGCCCTCGGGGCCTGGCACTCTGCTCCGGCCAGCTGCCCGTTAACAGCGGACACACAAGACGACAGCAGGAGCAGCGGAGCGGAAACGCCACCTGATTTCTTCCACAGATAAATCGTGAATAAAATAAACGGAGGGGAGCCTGGAGCTTAAGAAGACTTCAGCTAACTGCGACCTACTGAGACCCCCCAAACCAGCTGTAACAAAATCTGCAGCTCATCCTTGAACAAAGTGGGGGGTACCAAGCACCCCTGTATCCACACCGCCACACCCACGGATTCAGACCACCGGGTTCGTGGACTCAGAGACTGAGGGAGAAAGACAGGCCCACGTGTGGGCAGACCCGCGCTGCGCCAGCTGAGGACTCAGGGTCACCTGCTCCTGTGAAAGGCCGAAGTGTGGGTGCTGGCCGGACGGTGGCCTGGGAGGAGGACGGTTCGCGTGTCAGGAGTGACCACGTGTCGTGCTTTCTTTTTCTAACAAGTCCCTACCGTGTAGAGAAGCTACTGAAATATTTGTGGGTGAACGGGACCTCGAATAGTGTGAGGGGAAGTCGGGGTACAGACGAAGCAGGAGTTCTCAGGAGGTGATTCTCTGGAGACGGGTGGTAGTTTCTTCTCCCGCTATGTGAGATAACGCTGCCCCGTGGTGAGAAGTCACGAAGGGCAGAAACCAAGGCTGTGTCCCTTTTCCTCCTGGCGCTAAACGCGAGGGCACCCATGCCCATCCGCTGTGACCGCCCCTTTCCTGTCTGTCCCTGGACCTGGCCAGCGCGCCTCAGGGCAGGCAGGGGTCTGTGGCGCCAGGCGCTGCCCGCTGCCAAATCCCAGCCCCTGGGCGCTGTCTAGCATGTCTCGGGCTCTCAGCCAACGGCAACTGGCTTATTCCTCGTCTCCATCTTTGCCCCCCACACCAGGAGTCCGGCACCGACTGTCCCGTGCAGCTGCCTCCGGGAAGGCTGCACCCACACTCCTGGCCTACCTGCGCAGCCAGGCTCTCTGGGAACAGGCGGCCAGGGCGGGCACCCAGGCCGCGTCTGGGGGCCTCCCCAGACCCTGAGTCCTCCGGGTGGCCTGGGAGGCCTGTCCCTGGCCCCTCTGCTCCAGCCTGGCCCGTTCCTTCTGATGGCACCACAGCAGGAAGACTAAGGGGGGTGGGAAAGAAGGGTGAGCAGAGGGAAAGAGAAGAGCCAGGAGGGGCCCCTGCACCCGGCTGTGCCGCTCCCCATCTCTGGCCTCCTTGTCCCAGGAGTGAGTGACTCTAAGGGACTTTCCAGCTCTGACACGCCAGCTCCGGCCGGGCCTGCTGCCCCATGCCAGTGACCCACAGATGCCGGGTGTCCTGCAGCCGGTCCCTGGGTATCTCTGGACGTGGTAAGATGGCCGCGCCGCCTTCCCAGGTCAGCCCCAGCCCCAGGTGAGACCAGAGGTTGTGGACTAAACAGGCCATACGCACTGACCGGGGCCCCCGCCGACCCCTGCCGCGCTGCCCGCCCCGCGGGCACCCCCATCTCTCCAGCCAGCTGGCGCAGGGCCTGCAGGGTCTCGGCTCTCCCGGCTCCTCCCCCTGGCCTCGGCAGCGGGTGTGACCGGAGCCTCTGGGCACCAGCCTCCGCCTCGGGCTCCCTGTGCTGGCATGAAGCCCCCAGGGAGGGCTGAGGCTGTGGCTGAGGGGGGCGCAGGGCCCCCCCCCAGCTGCGCTGCCCGCCCACAGGAGACGGTGCAGCTGAGCCACCCGCCACGCTCTTCACATCGTTCCTGAGTAAAAGTCACTTGGATTTTTATAACAAAAACAAGTATCACAGGCCTCCCTGGGGGCGCGGGGGCTAAAGTCTCAGCACTGTGAAGCTGTCTGCAGCTACTGCAGTAACAGTTCCACCCCCGGCCAGGGCCGGACCCACAGGGCACAGCAGACCCCTCCTGTCTCCCCGCTGCTCCCTTCAGCAGTGGATTTCAGTGGATCCACCTGTTCTGCGCCCTCCACTCTGTCTCTGGGGATCCTCTCGCCCCTGCACCTCCGGCCTGCACCCCAGTTCTTGTATGCATAGATAAAAAAAGAAAACTTAAGAAAAAAAAACCCACTTAGGTATTATTAAGTGAATATCATTTCAATTGCTAACATAACTACCACTTAAATAAAGTATATTATTTTATAAATGCCATTTAATTGTATCTATTTTGTCCATATGTATTATATACACTCTATATAACCAGAAATGTACATCTGATCTTTATATGATTTAATTAAAAGATAATTGAAATGATCATTTCTTTAGATAACTAAAATATTTAAACATCATTGGATTAATTACCTATTTACTAAACATAACAAACTGGTGAAATAAGTTAAAGAATAGTTATAATTAAACACAGTAGTTTGATTTAAAGTGGGAACTACAACCAATATATTGCTAAAGTGGAACACTGAGTAAGTGAAGAATAAAAGGATCAACTTTGATCCACGTTCCAGGGCAGCCACGTGAGGGACTGGAAAGGGGGCAGAGCTGCCCCGGGGCGCAGGGGGCTCTGGGCGGGGCAGCAGGTGCTTTCATACCTCAGAGTATAAAATTTACCATCTGGCTCACTGCAAGCGGTCATGTTAAACCATTCACAGGGTCGTGCAGTATTCGGGTATTTCACCTCCTGGGCCGTTTCTGACAGTATTTAACAGGCTTGGCAAAGGTTCATCCTCCTTCCGCCCTTCCCCGCTTCGCATCGTCAGAACTGCTGTTTCATGTTATTAAAAATTCTCCACAGGCGCCCATAAAATGCTCCCAGGAGGGGAGGTGTGGGGAGATGACACTCCCAGTAGCTGAGGGACTTCTAGTTACTCTGAACAGTTCTTTTCAAATCGAATATGCAAGAGTGCAATCATTAGAAACAGAAGACAGTGAGTCTCACAGAGACAGTGAGTCTCACAGAGACAGTGAGTGTCACAGAGACAGAGAGTCTCATAGAGACAGTGAGTCTCACAGAGACAGAGAGTCTCACAGAGACAGTGAGTCAAAGAACAGCGGGGAGAGAGCAGAGAGAAGCGATTTCGGGCTCAGCAGCACTGTGGCGAGCGGCTGCAGGACGCCCCTGTGACCCAGGTGCTTCGCTCCCCGCAGCTGGGCAGCTGGGCTGCTGTGGTTTGCACAGAATAAGTGACACCGTCACCAGACATCTCTTTGCACGAACCTTCGTCTATACCTGCTGGATTCACCCTCTGACTGTCACAGGGGCGGGAACACCAGGGCCGGGGCACAAGGGACAGCCACTAGCCAGCTGTCAGACTACCTGCCTCTCCCGGCGAGGTCCACCGCTGGCGTCCTTCCCGGGGAGCCTTGGCCCTGGCCCGCCCCTGAGGGCGAGGGGCCAGCCTGGGCGTGGGTCTGCCCTTGTTTCCGCTGCAGAGTCCTGTGTCTCCACTGGGTCAAGAGAGAAGGTGAAGAGGGACGTTGGCTGCGCCTCGGATGTGCCAGGAAGGCAGGGGCAGAAGCCAAGGTTGCCAGGCTCCAAAGCCTGTGGCCTTGACCTTGAGACGAGCCCATCTCCTTAGGAGGGGAAGAATGGATGGATGGAGCCCAAGAGGCAGGAGCGGGGCCTTCCCAGAGCACCCCTTTCCAAAGGAGGGAAGAACAGAGGCACCCCCAGGCCCTGGTTGACCAACCACTAATTAAAAATAGCAACCACCGGCCCTCCCTGGTGGCGCAGCGGGTTGGAGCGCAGCACTGAGGGGCTGAAGCCGCTTCTGCACGAGTTCGATCCCCACCCCAGAGGTGGCCCACATGGCGCAGGAGACCTCTCCTGACCGCCCGCTGCCCCCCTCAGCAGTGTGTTTCAGTAGATCTGCCTGTTCTCTGTGCTCCCCACTCTGTCTCTGGTGAATCCTCTCACCCCCCCTGCACCTCTGGCCTGTACCCCAGCTCTGTATGCATACATAATCTTTAAAAAAAAAATAGCAACCACCTGAATGGCAGAGTGCTTGCTGTGGGCTAGCAGGTCCCTATCTTTATTAACCTCACAGCAACCCTGGAGGCAGGCATTATTATCCCCCAATTGTGCTAAAGTGCTAAGGCACAGAGACGTTAAGTAACTAGCCTTAGGACACACAGCAAGAAAGTGTGAGATAAAGTAGCAAAACAGGATCTGAACTCCAGGAGAGCTGGGTCTGGCTCAGGCCTCCTGGCCGCCAACCCCAGCTCTGCTGGAGACCATTGTGAGGTGCACCTTGCGCCCCACAGAGGCTTATGCCCCAACACACCAACATTTTATCACCTCCCATGGCCCAGGTTGGAGGCCTGACCTTCTGGAAGCTCTGGACCAGCAGGGCATGTGTGTGTCGTGTCCACACTGCCTCCAGCTGGTCCTGCCGGAGCCTCAGGGCCAATGCCGCACCCGCAGGGCCCTGGGTAACCGCTGCCGCTGGCGCAGCAACAGAGCAGCTCCTGCAGCCTCCGGCTTCTGGGCCACGTGCCGCCAGGCTCCGAAACATCTGGACAGAAGCTGGCGGCTGGGGACCCACCAGGGCTGTTCCGGGCCCCGGGGAGCAGGGTCCTGGGGGCAAGGCACCACCATGGCGCCTTGCAGCATGGCCCAGGTGGGGTCCCTGCGGCAGTGAGAAGACCAGCTGCAGACCTCCCCGCTTCTTCCAGCGCCCCTCTGAGGCAGAGCACCCCCACCCCCGTCTGACCGCCAAGAGGGCAGGGCAGCCTCAGCAGTGTCGGACCCAGGAGCAGCAGCCCGTGCCCCGGGGCATCACCACTTCATTCCCAGGAGGGACCTGGGAAAGGTCACCTGCCCCCAGGTCCCATCACTCAGGCTCCCTCTCCACCCCCCAGGCAAAGGGGAGAGGCACTGCCCCCGGGTTTTGGCCCCGCCCCACCCCACAGCCCGCGGCCTCACCAGGCTGCCTGGGCCTCCCGGCCCTCGGAGCGCTGGGCTGGGTCCTTGGGGAGCAACCGGGCAAGACAGCGTTGAGGGTGAGAGGCAGCAAGGAACACCCCCGTATCCCCCCCGCCCCCTCTTCCTTTCAGCAGGGAGGGGGCCTGACAGGTGGTGACAGCAGCTTGGAGTGGGCGTTTCTGGGAAGCACTGGGCCCCCAGATCACCCCAACTCCCTCCCTCAGACTCTGCTGGCCTCTACCTGGGGGTCACTCCTCGCCGGGGGGGTGTCTGGCAGACAGGACGCTGTTCTCTCTTCGTCCCAGCAGACCTGCAGCCCCGGAGCAGCTGCCGCTCTTTCTCGCTGAGGCCCAGGTAGGACCCCCTGGGCCACACGGCAGGTGTGCCCACCCCTGCAGGGCCCCGGGGGGCCCTCCTCTGCACCCCCGCATACGGTGACCCTGGAGAGCGCTTCTCTCCTCGCCTTAGGGGGCGGGCAGGAAGGGCCCCCTGCTCAGGGTCAAGGAGGCCCCCAGTCAGAAGCTCCAAAGTGGCCCATGCGGGCTTGCTGCTTGCCTCGGAATCCCAGTGACCCGCCTGGACCCCTTGTGTCTCTGGGAAACTGGGGGTCCCTTGGAGGGACTTCTTCCTCCCGCCCCAGCAAGCAAGAACAGGCTGGCAGGGCCAGCAGTTGGCAGGGAGTGCCTGGCCGCCGCTGGCCCAGGGGTCCTGCTCTGCAGAGTCTGGGGGCTGCTGGGACTCCCGGCACCAGAGACGGGCCATCTCGAGCTCCAGGCGCCGAACAGAGACCAACAGCTGGTGGACAGCAGCTCGGCACGGTGTCAGAGCCCCGCTCGGGGCATGGACAGCCAGGTCCTCCAGCGTGAGAGGTTCTCCCTGGAGCCTGGAGGTCCAGCCCCCCAGGCCACACCAGGATCTGGGGTCCAGCTGTGAGTGTCCAGCAAGAGAGGCAAAGCCTGCAGCAGGCCTGGAGCTGGGGCAGGGAGAGTCCGTGGTCAGCAGCCGGGACAGCCCCAGGGCGGAGGGCCGGCAGGCCAGTGACCCTCCGGGGGAGGGGCTTTCCCAGGGCTTCAGGCAGGGCCAGCTTTCCTGAGGCTCTGGCCGGAGGTGGGGGCCACTGGGACTCCCACACCCAGCCAGACCGGCCTCCCACACGCTCAGGTTACTCTGCTGCACCGCACACGCCTGGGCGCTGCCCTGGGGCCTCCGGGGCCGCAGCCGCACGTTGCTCTGTTGTCGGGAGCCAGAGTTGGTCAGCAGGCCTGCAGAGTCCTTCAGGGCAGGGCTGGGGCGGGGCCGGGGGCCGGCCAGGTTGGTCTGGACTTGCCAGGGCTCTGGGCCCGGCACCGGCCCTGGGGAGGGGGTGACGGCAGGCCCTGGCCTCTTGGCCCGACACGTGGGCACCCACCGGCCCTGCCCGCTGCCCGGGCCCACGCCGAGGCTCTTCGGGAGTCTCCAGTGCTCTAGAGAGGAGAGACACATGCAGGGACACTTGTGACCAATGTGCAGAGGGGACAGGGGCACCAGCCACGCCTCAGAGTAGGGGGCCAGGATTGTGGGGGGCCTGGGGAGTTCTGTCTCCCAGGAGGGGCTGATGGGCAGGGCCTGGGGATCCTGAGCAGAGCAGGAGTGGGGTGGCTCGGTGCCCGGCTGCAGGGGCAGGGGCAGGGGGTAGAGAGGGAAAGGAGGGAAATGGGACAACAGGAAGCTGATGGGGGGTGTCTGAGGAGAGAGGTGACAGAGCTGAGCTGGGGGTGGCGGGGAGGGTGTTAGACCACTATGGGGAGAAGGCAGAGTCGGAGTTGACTCCGGGTTTCCCGCGTGAGCAGAGGTGATGGGCAGCGGATGCAGTGGGAACAGGACCTATTATATCAAACAGCTACAAGTGGGCTGCTCCGGGGAATGTGGGGCACAGAGACCCCCCCCCACGGGCTCCCCGGGCCCAAGTCCACTCCACAGCAGACAAGGTCTCTTGGTAGCTGGTGAGACACTTGGGAGGACCTGGCAGGTACAGCGCACTGTGGACGTTTGTAGGTGGGAATTACAATCAGAGAGGGTGAGCAACTTGCCCTTGGCCACACAGCAGGGACACTGCACGAGGCCTGAGCTTGTGCTTGGGGCCCTGAGCCGGGGGGACCCCTAAGACTACCCAGGACCAGACTCTCCTGATCCTTCCTCTTCCCGGTCTATGTGCTGACTTCTGAGCCCCTCTGGGCTGAGCGACTGGGCAGGCTCGTGCTGGCCCTGCTCAGGTCCTCTCTGGGATCAGCAAGGACCCAGGGCCTGGGGGACTCTGGACTGATGCCTCAAGGGAACCCAGAACTGGGAAGCCTCTTGCCTGGCCTCAGGGGGGTCGCAGGTCCGGGGGACACATTCTCCTTGTGGCGGGGGGCCGGCCTCAGCTCCAGCGCCAGGCCGGGGCGGCAGCTCGGCGCTCTGCACCACTGCGGGGAGAGGATAGGGTGCGCTGGCAGGACAGGCGCCCCCGCCCTGGCCCTCACCCCGCCCGCACCAGCAGCCAGCTCAGGCTCAGACCCCCCAGGGTCGCCTCTCCTCACCCCATGCCAGCCCTTCCCGTACAAATTTCTCAGGCCTTTTTCTAACACCACTGACCAGCTCCTGGCTGTGGCCTCACTTTGGCCCCTGCTGCCTGGGCAGCGCTCTCAGTGGGGGCGTCTCTCAGACCCCTGGGGTAGAGGGGGGCTCTCTGTGCTGTTTCCCCACCATCCTGCCGCCCTCCCTATAAAACGCCCCAGCTCTACGCTCCAGATGGGCATGGGAGACAGGCCTGCTTGCGTCCGTCCCTGCTCAGATGTCATCTCCTGGCTCACTCTCTCCAGCACACACCTGTCCCACTTCTTGGTGATTTCACTGTCCACAGGACGCTCCGTCCACCTCCTGGCCTGACCCCTCCGACCACCTTGCTCCTCATCTGACCTCCGCCTGCTCCCACAGTCCCCAGACTTCATCATCCTAAGTAACTGTTTCCCCTCCGAATTTCCATCTCCAGGCCACACCCAACTTTCCCGCTGGCTCCCAGTGCCCTGACTCCAAGCACCTTTCGCCAAGGAGACCCCTGCCCTCCGCCAAGTCTCCCCCTCCTGCTGCTTCACTGTCAACGTCAGACTCACCCCCTCACAGCCCCTGGGCTCCCTCTTTTTGCCACACTTAGCTGGCAAAATCAGCGGTGGTTAAAAAGTGGCTTAAAAAATTACCCTAAAGGCCCTCCCTGGTGGCGCAGCGGGTTAAAGCACAGCACTGAGAAGCTGAAGCCACTCCCCGGCTGCCCCTGAGGTGACCACAGGGCGCGGCAGACCTCTCCTGACCCGCTGCTCCCCTCAGCAGTGGACTTCATCGATCTGCCTGTTCTGCGCCCCACTTTGTCTATGGTGAATCCTCTCACCCTCCGCACCTCTGACCTCTACCCTAGTTCTGTATGAATAAATAAATAAATCTTTAAAAAAAATTACCCTAAAACTGCAGGTGGCTTCAAACTGCACTTCCACTGTCCGTGGGGCCAAAAGCTGCTAGAAAATGACCCCAGGACGGTCTCTCTCCCTCCCAGAGAGGCGCTCGCTTTCCACTCTACAGAGAAGTGGAGTCGCTTTGACTGGAGCCAGAGTAGGCGGGCCAGGGGGCCCCTTGTTCGCCCTGACCCCTTGAACTGCGCCCCCAAACCTCCAGACGGCGAGAGCCAGCAACTGCCCGAGCCACCACGCCTGAGGAATCAGCGTGCTCTCAGCGCCGAGGACGGTGGACTTGAGCTGAGGCAGATCAGCGACTGATGGCGCAGCCACGTCACCGAGCTGCGAGCACCAGCCAACGTGCTTTCACGTTCAAGGCACGCGACTCCCCTCCCTGCCTTATAAAAACCTCTTTCCCCCTAGAGCAGGGCACAGGTAGGTTCCCGCCTGAGTCGGTGTACCCCCAGAGGCAGTCTGTGCTAGTCCCAAATAAACGCGTGTCGCTGCCGGTGAAACCTGCTGTTCTCTTAATAAAATCTCTGCTACCTCTTCTCCCTTCGGCCTTTCTGTGGACCTTGGGGTGCTAGTTCACGCCCCAATAGGGCCATCAGAAGAAAAATGGCCTGGCCACCCCGTACCCCACCCCCATGTCCTCTGCCATTGGCTTCATGCCTGGGGCCTCAGGCGACCCCCCCAGCACCCAGCCAGACCCTCATCCACGCCCTGGGGGTCGTCCTGTCTCTGCTGTGCGCCTCCTCGCTCAGTGTCTCCATGAGGGTGCCGTGCTGTGACTCAGGATGAGCACCCGCCACCCCTGGCCACACAGTGGACTCGGCTCTGTACGACGGCACAGAATTTGGGGGGACAGGCCATGTGCCTGCTCCCCAAATCCCCGTCCCCACCACCAGCACTCCCCCTTCTTCAGCCAGTCATTCCCATCGACAACCACAAAGCAAAACCAACCTCCCACCTGCCCCTCGCCCCCACCCCTCGCCCCCCCCAAAATAACCCGTGCCCCCCTGGCTTCTGGGTCCCAAGCCCAGGCTCCCCTTCTCAACGGCCGCCTCCACCTCTGCAGACCTCACCTCCGCTCCTCAGCTACTGGCCTTCGGGGCGCCTCCTGAATAAAGCCCCAAGGACCCCAGCTGTGCCTGCTGGCTGTGGCTGGTCTACACCTTCTCACTGGATGGAGTCTGGGCGCACCTCCTGGCCCACAAAGCTGACCTTTACCCTCTGGCCTTTGTGAAAGGTGGCAGATAACCTGCTCTAGTTATCTGGCCCAGGTACCTGAGTGCCTGCCCTCGCGCTGAGCTCACTCTGCTAGGGGCACACCTGCCTCATCCAGGTGTGTTCTCACCCTGGGACTCAGGCCACAGGCTTGCCCCCACGAGGACCACGCCTCCCCACCTATCCGCCCCTCACCCCTACCTGGGGCTTCCCCTCGCGACTCCACCCCCATGTCAGTCTGGTTAAAAGCATCAGTACCTCCCTCTCTTTCTACCAAAAAACTTGCGCTCAGTTTTCCTGCCTTCGCATGGCAGCTGTCCGTTATCCAGTTGGGCTCCCCCTGAGGGGATGCAGGGCTGGAGGGCTAACGACCCCGGCAGGCCCGGGGAGGGGGTGGGGGAAGCGCAGAGACCGCGGGCTCTGGCCTCTCTCCAGGTCGCACGGGCGCCCCCCTGCGGCCAGGAGAGCTTGGCCGCTGCGCCTGCGCACACGCGGACCACGGGGCCCCGGGGCGTGGGGTGCACGGGCGTCAGGCAGGGCTCCGAGTCTTGTGCAAACTTCTCACACATGTGTGAAACCATCGCCCTTTGGAATTCCCAGACCGCCAGAATCCGCTCCATCCGCTCAGCTCGGTGCTGTGGCTTGGCCCGGTCACAGTCGCTGGGCATTTCCCACCCGCCATACCTTCTCCCTCCTCCACCCCGACCCCGCCTCCCTCGGGTGCCCTTTATGTTTTATCCGGTCCAAACATCCCCTGGGAGAGGAGAGAACCCTAGATGGGGAGTCAGAAAGCCTGTCATTTAAAAAAAAATTGGTCAATTGCTGTATGACCTTGGGCACGTTCTCGACTTCTCTGAACCTCAAGCTGTTCAACTGTAAAAAGCGGGGTGTTCACCCTGAAGTCTCTGCGGTTACCCAACCCCTCCCTGGGCCTGCCTGGGTGGTTCGCGGTCCAGCCCCAGAGCCCCTCACAGTAAACCCAACTGTGGACCCCGACTCTGCTGCCTCCCCGGAACTGACGGGAGAGTCGGAGTGTGGCCAGTTAATGCCCAGAGCCATTGCAACGGGAAGGCAGTGTTTGAGGGAGGAGGTGATGATTCTTTTCTTCTTAAGTCTCTGGGTTTAAAATCTCTGCAAATCCTGGTGGGTTGAACCTCTCATCTCTTAGGTCTCACCACTCTTTTTTTTTTTTTTCTTCAAAGATTTATTTGTGCATACAGAACTGGGGTACAGACCAGAGGCTCAGGGGTGGCGAGAGACCTCACCAGAGACAGAGTGGGGAGCAGAACAGGCAGATGGACGGAGTACACTGCTGAGGGGAGCAGTGGGTGGGCCAGGAGAGGTCTGCCCCTCCATGTGGTCACCTCCGGGGCAGGCGGGAATCCAACTCATGCGGAAGGGGCTTTAGCTTCTCAGTGCTGTGCTTTAACCCGCTGCGCCACCAGGGAGGGCCCAGGTCTCACCACTCTTTACCGCTAATAATACTTTTTACCTTCAAGTCAGTTTGGCCTGATATTAACGTAGCTCTGCCAGCTCTAGATGGCTATTATTTGCCTGGTGTGAATTTTCATGTGTGGTTCCTGCGTGCATATAGCTGAGTCATTTCTTGTATAAACACAACATGGCTGGAAATTTTTCAAGAGTCACTTATAAATATATGATTATGACAGATTTATATAGCTGCTCTTATTTTTGTGCTTACTAATGGTCAACTTTGCTTCTTTTTTTCCTCTTTTTTTAGAATGGGTTGAGGTTTTCTTTTTTCTTATCTCCTCCCACCTTCTTGGAAATTACATGTTTTATTTCTGTTCTTTCAGTAGTTTCCTAGGATATTTTAATATGCACATTTAACATAGACTAAAGTTTCTCTTGCATTAACCATACTTTTACTTATTTATTAATTTTTAAAAGGTTTATTTATTTATGTATACAGAACTGGGGTACAGGTCAGAAGCACAGGGGGAGTGAGAGGATTTACCAGAGACAGAGTGGGGAGCAGAACAGGCAGGTGTATTGGAATACACTGCTGAGGGGAGCAGCGGGCGG